AGGACGGCATATAAATGTCGTAAACAAATAAAATAAATAAATAAACATCCTCGAGAGTATTCCTATGACCTCATTTATCTTGTTTTGTTTGCAGGTTCCACCAGTTCTCCCAGTCATAGAAGAGACCTCGTGGGCCATCCAGTCCAACCCCCTTCTGCCAAGAAGCAGGAAAATTGTGTTCAAAGCACCACGACAGGTGACCATCCAGCCTCTGTTTAAAAGCTTCCAAAGAAGGAGCCTCCACCACATTCCTGGGCAGAGAGTTCCACTGCTGAACGGCTCTCACAGTCAGGAAATTCTTCCTCATGTTCAGATGGAATCTCCTTTCTTGCGTACTAGTCTCCAGGGCAGCTGAAAACAAGTCTGTTCCCTCTTCCCTATGACGTCCCCTTACATATTTATACATGGCTATCATGTCTCCTCTCGGCCTTCTCTTCTTCAGGCGAAACATACCCAGCTCTTTAAGCCGCTCCTCATAGGGCTTGTTCTCCAGATCACTTTAGTCACCTCCCTCTGGACACATTCCAGCTTGTCAATATCTCTCTTCAATTCTGGTGCCCAGAATTGCACACAATATTCCAGGTGTGGTCTAGCAAGGCAGAAGAGAGCATGGGGAGCGTGACTTCCCTGGATCTAGACTCGTATTGATACAGGCCAAAATCCCATTGGCTTTTTTTGCCATCCTTCCTTGAGGGTATTCCTATGAGCTCGTACATCTTGTTTTGTTTGCAGGCCCCACCAGTGGTCCCAGTCCTTCTGCTTTGAATGTCATTTGAGAGAAGACGTGAACATACCTTCGTCCAGTTTGGAGGCAGCCTAGAAGCACAAAACCAAGATGGAAGGGAAAGAGCCAGCTACTGCCAAGTCAGAAGGATTTTCTTCTGCTGTTGAGGCAGAGAACAATACAGCATTCTTGGAGGACCCTTGGCGGAAAGATTGGGAGAGCACTCTGCTCCACTCAGACCTTCAGCGCCAGCATTTCCGCCGTTTCTGCTATGAGGAGGCTTTGGGGCCCCGAGAGGTGTGCAGC